CAAAAAGAAGAAGGAGGAGGAGGAGGGGGAGGGGGAGGAGGAGGGGAAGAAGAAGAAGTAGTAGTAGTGAGGTTCCTAGAAGTGAAATTGTTGGGTCATAGAATGTGCATGTGGTGTGACACGGATGGCAAGATGACTTCAGGAAGGGTCTGCCCGCTGGACCTGGTGCCCATTCTGAGCTGAGCTGCTGCCTCCCCTCTCCCCTGTCTCAGTGCTTACCCTCCAGAGTCAAGTGTGTTTGGCATTCAAGGCCCATCTGCCATAGCCTCCTATGGGCGGGAGCCATGAGTTCTCTGGGTTCTCTCCATAGACTTTATGTAATCAATAGCTATTCATGGTAGCATTGACAACTATTTACTGATAGCACTGATAACCACTCACTGAAAGTATTGATAACTGTTTATGATAGCACTGCTAGCTACTCATTGATGGCATTGATAATTAATGAGATGGCAGGGGGCTGGGCAGAGGGGAGCAAATACTTCTTCCAGGAACTGCCCAACGGCTCCCCCCCATCCCCCTAGCTTCCGCTCCTCCGGTCCCCTCGCCACAGCCTTCGCAGGCCCAGCTTCCTGACTGGACAGCATGAGCTGCACAATGGAGATGGAAGCAATGACACAGGCCCGGGCAACCTTCTTCCCTCCAGAAGATTCTATATGGAGAGCTCTGTCCCTGTGAGTCTTAGGACCAGGACCGACCCCTGGTGCCGTCAGAATCCATGGCAAAATCAACCCACCGAAACCAGATGGGAGAGGGGGAAGTTGCCACCATTAGTCATGTGCTCACTTACTCTCATTCTACAGGTTGAATTGAACACCTACTATTGTACATGCGAGCATTATGCTGGGCTCTGGGGAATTATTGATGGGGTGGGGAGGGACATGGTGTCTGTAAACGCTCAGAAAATACTCTGGGAAGATTAGAATGAAGGGGACTTCCTTTTATTTCTATCTCCTCTATTGTTTGAATGTGCAACTTCTGCCTTGTGCAAAAACTAGTATTTTTTTTTTTTAATTAAAAATTGTGGCCTCTTAGTGGGGAATGCAAGAGTCCTGACTCTTCTCAGGTACAGGAAAAAGGGAGTGAGTCTCCTGCTGTGGGGTTCACAGATCTGGGGTTCACAGATCATTGCTTTCAGCGCCCAAATTCAGTCCAGGGAGGCAGGACCTCGAGGCTCCCCCCGACTCCCACCCTCTGCCCGCCCACTCCCTCCGTACTGTGGTGAAAAGTGGAAATGGGGACACTTTTTAAAGGGGTGTCATGAATGTCCTCAGTCATGAGCTTTGGTTGTGAGTCAGCATTGGGGAAAGTTCTTTATGAGCCAAGTTTAAGGGAAAACATCCCAGGGGCAGGACAGTGGTTCACAGGGGGCATGTTTTGAAAATAGTTTCAAATTGTATAATTATTATTTGTTCCTTGCAACAAACAAACAAAAATAACAGAAAACCCAAAACAAACAATACAGAAATATAGAAAATAAAACTCTCTTTACTCTCCTGGGGTCACTTACAGTCCAGATTATATAATAACAGTGTCAACCAAGGCAGGCCTACTATGTGCACAGTTTCATATATATATATATATATATTTCAGAGAGGAAGGGAGAGGGAGAGAAAGATAGAAACATTAGTGATGAGAGGGAATCATTGATCGGCTGCCTGCTGCATGCCCCACGCTGGGGATTGAGCCCACAACCCAGTCATGTGCCTCAACCTTAAATCTAACCATGACCTCCTGGCTCATAGGTCGATGCTCAGCCACTGAGCCATGCAGGCCGGGCTAGCCTCACATGTGCTAATACTTTCAGTCCTCACATCAACACAAAGAGATGTGCTATTATTCTCTCCCCTTTTCCATAAAAGAAAACAGAGGCCCAGAGAGGTTAAATAATGGGCCAAAGTCACACAGCTTTTGTGGGTCTGAATCAAAACTCCAACTTGGGCGTCAGACTCCAGTCTGTGCTCCATTACAGTATTCTGTGTCTCTGCCACACCTTTTTTATGTGGACACACACACACACACACACACACAGTAAACCCGTTTTTCTCATTGTAATGCTCCTGGTGCCATTGTAATGCTCCCTTCATCATGTGCATTTAACTCACACTTGCCTCTTCTGGACATTTCATTTAATGGAACCATACAACCTTTGTCTTCTCCTGTCTGGCTTCTTTCCTTTAGCGCATTGTCCTCAAGGTTCATCCATGCTGCCGCGTGTGTCAGGACCTCCTTCCTTTCAATGGCTGCATCATATTCCGCTGTGTGGGCTCACCCCAATCTATGTGTGCATTCCTCAGCCGATGGACCCTTAGGGTGTCTCCACTTTGGGGCCGGTGTGGATAGTGTTATGAATAGTTGTATACAGGTCTTTGTGGGGCACATGTTTTCCATTTTCTTGCGTATGTGCTGGGTTTTTTTTTAAGGTTCGAAGTTGCTGACTTGGACCCCTGTGATGGTCAGTTCATGATCACATGTGTCAAACACAAGGCCCGCGGGCCAAATCCGTCCCGCCAGGCCTTGCAATGTGGCCCACACCGTGCTGTCATCACTGCACTCCGCTGCGTTTCCATCACAATGACAGTTTATGACTGTTCAGTAAACCATTCGGCCCGCGATTTAGGCTGGATTTTAGATTTTGGCCCCTTCTCTGATTGAGTTCGACACCCCTAATTGCAGATAGTGAGGCCCACTGCTGCTCATGTAGATGGTGGGGTCTGTGTTTAGGACTCATCTCTTAAGTGCAGTCACATGTATGTGGTTGGGGTCCAAGGAAAAGGCAGAGAGCACCCCCACATGGAGTACTCAGAGGAGAATTGACCCACGTGTGGGCAGAGGTAAGAAACCAATGACGGGTAATGCAGTGTTCACGGCTGAGCTGGCAACACCCCTGACTGAAGGGGGAAGGAAGGTGAGGGAATAGGACCTGGAGCCTGGAGAGGGGTCTGGGCTGAACCTGAGAACCGCCTGGCAGGCAGGCACTGCGCCTGCTGCCCCGTCACTGCCTTCTGCTGGCGAGACCTGGCAGGAAGCCAGAGGCCAGGGCGCCCGGGGGTGCAGTCCTAGAGGTCCGAATCCCAGACTTCTTCCAATCGGGAGAACACGGGTGATCTCTCTCCCACTCTCTCTTCTAAACCACTTGGTTGGCATGACTCACATGACAGTTCTTATTCCACCTGCTTTAGAGTAATGTGTGAAATGTGGTTTAAAAAAAATGTTTTTATTGATTTCAGAGAGGAAAGGAAAAGGAAAGAGAGATGGAAACATCAATGATGAGAGAGAATCATTGACCAGTTGCCTCCTGCATGCCCCCCACCCCCCCCTGGCCTACTGGGGATCAAGTCCACCACCCAGGCATGTGCCCTCACTGGGAATCGAACCAGGACCTCGTAGTTCATAGGTCAACTCTCTGCCACTGAGCCACAGCGGCCCAGCTCTATGAAATGTTTTTATCTCCTCTGTTAATTCGAAGCTCCTGCTAACTCTCCAAGCTCTTCTCTCCTCTTCTTCCTCTCCTCCTGCTCCTCCTTCTAATATCATTCACCTACCACAAAACCCACCCCTTCAAAGTACAGTGGTTTTGTTATATTCAGAGTTGTACAACCATCTCCATAATCAATTTTAAAGCATTTTTGTTTCCCCAACAAAAACCCTGTACCCATTAGCAGTCACTCCCAATTCTTCCCGCTCCCCCCAGCCCTGGGCAACCACTAACCTACTTTCTGTCCCTAAACACTTGCCTCTCCAGGACATTTCATTTCATGGAATCGTACAACCTTTGTCTTCTCCTGTCTGGCTTCTTTCCTTTAGCGCATTGTCCTCAAGGTTCATCCATGCTGCCGCATGTGTCAGGACCTCCTTCCTTTCAATGGCTGCGTCATATTCCGCTGTATGGACTTACCCCAATCTGTGTGTGCATCCCTCAGCCGGTGGACCCTTAGGGTGTCTCCACTTTGGGCCAGTGTGGACAATGCGCCTGCGAACATTTGTGTACAGGTCTTTGTGGGGCACATGTTTTCAGTTCTCCTGCTTATGTGCCATTTTGTCTGCCCTGCCTGGCGCGCCTCATCTCATCCTGGCCAATTCCCTGGCCTCCTTCAGTGCTCAGTACACGCCTGCCTCTTTCCCTAAGGAGCTTTCTCTGGTGTGTCTTACGTGGAGACACACACACATACACACACACACACACACACACACACACACACACTCATGCACACATACTTATTAATGGAAAACCAATATGGGATTGTGCCTTTTAGCCATTTGCTCTTTTCAATGAAGAATCATAACCATGTTTCTGTCTGGGCACATTTATTCATTTACTTTTAAAATTTCTACTTATTGATTCCTCCCTCCCTCCCTCCCTTCCTCCCCATGAGCTCCCTCTCTTCCGGGCTCCTACGTTTACCCAGATTGCATGCTCTTCACATGCACATGACATTCATTATCAGCATCTTCCCATCTCCATCTGTGGGCCTCTGAGCCTCTCAAGGGCAAGAACTGTCACTGGATCTGTCACACTTAGTATGGTGCTTGGCCTGCTTAGCAATGAAAGGATGGGTGGATGAACGAATGAGTGAGTGAGTGAGTGAGTGAGAGCAGACAGTCCTACCAGTCTGCCTTGAATATGGATCTATGAAATGAATAGGAGACCCTGTTCCCCATCTGGAACAGCACAAAGGTAGCCCGACAAAGCGGCCTCTCTTTGAATCCCAGAAGATACCTGTGTAAACGTTTAGTCTGAAAACGAGGGGGGTGTGCGCGCAGACATGTGTTTAGGGAAGGCTGCTAGGTGGACAGAGCATGGCGGGGGCTAGGGGGGAGCACCAAGACTAGCTTTTGGGGAGCCTTTCCTCCAAAAACAGAGCCTTGTATCTAGCAGCTCTCACCCCTCCCCCTCCCCACATCCAGGCTGGCTGAGCAGCAGCCCAGGGCGCTGACGTCATCCCCAGCGGCTGGCTGCACGTGCCTGCTGACCGACATGCCCATCTCTGTTTCTGCAGGTTGGCGAAAACCCTGTGTCCTTGGAGAAAGCTGGTTCCCGTTTTCCTGAGGGGGAGCCCAGCGCTGAGAGGCTGCACGCGCGGTTGGCACTTCGAGAAGGAAGTGGGGAATAAAGACAGCGCCTGGAGCACTAGAGCATCGTGGAATGGGACCGGGGAAGAAGCCCTTTGGGGATCCAGCTGCAGAAAAGACACCCCAACGCTATTTACATACAGCTCTCTCTCTCTCTCTCTACATATATATATATAAAAAGAAAATATGAATATTGCTACTCAGTGCATGCCGTGTCGAGGACGTGGTCCCCTCCCTTCTCTGCACCTTCCGATGTGAACATGACTCTTCCATGTCTGGGCACCGGAAGAGAGATGCCCACCGTGTGCCGAGGAAAAGCTGCCAAGACTGGTGGGAAGGAGCCTCAGCGCCAACCCACCGCCTGGGGAGGGATGCTGGTGGAGTCAGAGGTGAAATGGCAGAAGGCAAAAGAGAAAGGCAATAATAATAATTTTAACAAGTGAGGAGGACCGGAGGCCAGTGGGTAGGGGCAGTCTGGGATACCTCCACTTCCCCTACGATAGAGAGCGAGCCCCCTGTCTCATTAGGACAGCCGGGGTTTCCCGCTCTGCCCCTGGGCCTCTGGTGCTTCGCCTGAACCTGGCTGGTGCTAAGCGTGCGTTCTTGCTGGTGCTGCTTGGTTTTCTGTCGCCAGACCTGCGAGGCCAGGGGACAAGAGGGGTTTCTTTTTTTTGCTGTTTCGGATTTTTTTTTTTTTTTTTTTAAACGACGAGGAGAAAGTGCAACTTGAGAGTCCCTTTCTGTTTGCAGGGACCACTACCCTTGAGGTCAGGGCAGGAGGGAGGGAGGGAGGAGGGGAGAGATGGGCTGGCAGGGAGTGGCCTGCCGGGCACCATTGGAAAGCTGACCTCATCTATTAGGACTTGTTTGCTGTCCCCTTGGGAAAAGGATCCTGGCAGTTCAGCCCACTCCCCAAGGGGATTTCAAGGTTTGGGTTTTATGGGTTAAAAAGCCAAGAAAATGGCTATGTTCTGGTCAAGGGTAACTTATAAAAAGCGCGTTGGGGAAGGGCGCAGGTCATTTAAATGCAATGCACCAGCATCTCACTGCAGACTGACAGAGGGTCTAATTTCACCCCCCCTCCCCCCCCCCCCCAACCTCATAAGCTCCTATTTTCACAAGTTTCTAGAAGGGCTAAAAAAAAAAAAAAAAAAAAAATGTGTGCTGGACTGAGACTTGGCTGCAAAGACTCTTCAGGAAACAATGCTTGTTTTTTTGCTTTCATTTTTTTTTTTTTTTAAATCCAACAAAAACAGGTGTTCTTCCTCTGTGTATCACACGGCCGATTTCAAAGCTGAGACGGCGAGGGGCCAGGCTGCCGGCGGAGGCATTCTCCAAGGCTGGGTTTGTAGGCCACCACCCAGGGCCCACGGATGGGGTGCACGGGGCCCGTTCACAGACACGCTTCCGGTTCGAAGCCGCCGGCAGAGGGACCAGCCCTTGTTCACGTTGACACGGGCTGAAAGGGAATCATCCCCCGTAGACTTTCCTGAAAGTCACCAGCTCTTTAGCAAGGCGGGACCTTTGCCCGCTGCTGCAAGCTGGGAGCTGTCTTTCTTTAAATAAGAATTTTTTATTTATTTTTTAAAAAAATCCACATCTGATGTTTTCCTAAATAACTCTTTAAAGAAAGATCAAGGCGAGTTGCTGAAGGGGAGGGCACCTCCCACCCTCACCCCAGACCTGTTTGCTTCCATGGCTTTTTTACAGGGTGGGTATGTCTGTGGGCATGGTCTGTGGAGAGTGGCAGGCGACGTTTCCACCAAGCCGCCACCTCAGGGAAGGCAAACGCATGAGAACAAGGGGAAACACGGCCTCTGCTTTTATGAGGACACCAGGGTCTGTCCCGCTCATCCCTGTGCGGGAGGGGTTTTTCATTATTCTAGTCACAGTCAGTGCAGCTCTCTGCCGTTTTCTATGCTGTTCCAGAGAGGGGGCGTGTGACCACCTAGGCACAGGGGGAAGGTCAGAGGGTCCCTTTTTCGACCCTGACTCGCCTCCTAGCTGAGGGCATGTCCGCTGGAGGATCCGCACTCTTAAGTGCCGGGGCTGGCCATCCGGGCTGCTTTGATTTCGATGAAGCCACATTGCTGAGAGAACGGGGCACCCGTTGCCTCCTGCTGGAACTTTGCAACCAAGTCCCTTGTACATACTCTCCTGTATTATGAGAAGCCGTGTATTTACCGAATCCTGGCTTTTTTTCTTGCATATCATCCATCCATTTGGGTGCACTTCTCTGTGGCCCCGGCTTTTGACAAGGGGTTGTTTTTAATGCTTGTTTTTTTATATGAGATTGTACTTCTTGATGGACATTTGTATTAGGAAATTGAAGCATGGCCTGTGTGTATATATTGTCTCCACTGTCTCTCCTGTTGCATTACTGGGATTGCATGAGATAGTGGGGTGGTGTTTTGTGTGTGTTTTTTTTTTTTCTTCGTTAAATATTTCCACAGTGCGCAAAGTGCTGGCATCATTTCTCCCTCTTCCCCGCCCCCCTTTTCTCTGGCTGCCAAGGAGTCATTGATTTTGATTAGTTTCACTGTAGAGCGTCTGTGAAGAGAGAGGGAGGGAGGGAGGCTTTGGAATAAATTTTGAAATAGACCTCATATCGGGTTTCAGCAGACAGCAGTGTGTGTGTGTGTGTGTGTGTGTGTGTGTGTTTGTGTCCAGGCAAACCAGAGGGAGGCCTGTGAGATCATTGTTTAAGTAGCTAACTGCATAATGAGGTGAGGAGCCAGCGGTGGGGCCTCCTCCCTCCTGGCTGTGGCTGGGTGCTCTCCGAGGGTGGGGGCCAGGAGTCACGGGGATCGGAGCCTGCTGGGACTTCAACATCCCAAAGCTGTTCCATTCCCTTCTGGAAGGTTCTCTCCCCTACCGCTCCCGCCTCAATACAATAAGACCTCTTTCCCCCTTTTCAGAATTGGGGTTCCTTCCGTTCCGAATTCCCTTTGGCATAGACGTGGCTGGAGTAACAGGTTTCTTGGTGCCCATGTGCCTCGTTGGCCGCTGTCCATGGTCCTGCGCCATCAGCGGCTCGGAGAACCCAATCCTTCCCCCCACACACACCTCTTTCATTGGGATACTGGAGACTCCTTTTCCACGTCTTCCAGTGGTCTCATTTTAAAATTCTTTTCTGTTTGGGTGAAAAATGGTGGTGGAAAAGAATACTGTCACAGAACAATGGAGCTGTGACTCTGATTTCACAATTGATGTATCTGATCTCAGGCACTCCTGGCTCTCTTTCATTGCTTCTCACAGTGACAAAACATGACATCCCCTCGCTTGTGGCATTGGGGGAGTCCTCCCCTGACCCCACACAAGCATCTTCTGGGGACACTGGCTTGCCACTGTGGACTTTCTGAGTGTCCAGCGGGTATCAGAAGCCGCAGTGATCAGAGTATGGGCTTTGTTCCCTGTGTTGATAAGAATTCTTCTAAATGTTCCCTTAAGTTCCCCCCCCCCCCCCGGGCCAATCAGAGGGTCAGAAGCTTTGGGGGTCAAAGGGGGGGACAGACTAGACACCCTGTCCTAGTCCCACGGGAACTGGTAGAAAGAGGACGTTGATGTCCAAGTGTCCTTTTAAAACTTAAACCTAAGGTTTCTTTTTGTAATTTTAATCTGTTCGCTCAACACCTATGTGTCGAGCACCTATGATGTGCCAGGTGGTAGCAGCCCTCCATCTGGGAGGAGACTTATTCATCACAGAGGGGCAGCCCTGCTTGGAACGGATGATGTTCAATGTCCCTTCCCAGCCTGGTCCACAGCTTTTAACAGATTTGTCGGGTCATCGTTGTGACCCCAAGACTCGCTGGCAGATTGTCCTATAGTATTTTTATTTACCGAGCGGCCACACCATCACGGAGGCAATTAAGAAGCCCGTGGTCTCAACTCACTCTCAGTGCAGAGAGATTGGTTCTCGCTGCTTCACTCAGCAATGAAGTGAGAGCCACCATTTATAGATTGCTGAGTGCTTTACACATTACCCCCTGGCGGTGCCTCACTCTGGGAGTCAATGGCCATCATTCCCGTTTTACAGGTGAGGAAACTGAGCCTCAGAGAGGTTACACTGAGAGTGAAGCGGTTGAGCCAGAATTTGGACTCAGGTCTGTGTGACGCCCCCTCAGGCCTGTGAGCTGAGTGCGGGTCCCAAGGTATGGCTAGTTCGAGGGCAAGCCCAAGCCGGGGCCTGTGCAGAGAGCGGGGAGCCTGACGTAGGCCCACGGTAAAGTGATGGATTTGGGGACCCTGCAGGGCAGGCGGGGTGGCTTAATTGGGGTTTTATGCATTTGTCCCCTGCTTTTTGCGTTCCTGGTTTCTATCAGGTCGCTGGGAGGAGCATCTGATTTGCAAACAGGGCCTGTCTGACTTACTTCCTAGGACATGGGAAGCTTTTCTTACCTCCTTCTTGCCCCCACCCCTACCCGACCCCCAAGTTCCTCCCAAGGTCCTTTGCACTATGAGCGCCCGGAGCCTGCGTGTGCGGAGGGGACGGCTGTGGGGCGTGGGAACCTCGGCTCGGCCTGCGGCTCGGCCGGAGAGGCAATAAACTTGGGGGCGTTCCCTTCTGGGTTCTGACCTTGCTGGTTCGCTTGCTCTTTTGTAAGAGGAATTTCGTACCTTGGAGACGCTTTGTACATATTTGTAATGACTTTATTAAAAAACTGGTTGTGCGCTTCCAGCCGAAGGCCTCTGCGTTTTCATTTCCTGTGGAAGGCTGGTCCCCAGAGACGATGGGAGGACCGGGCTGCACACCCCAACCTCCCCAGGGGCGGAGGGAAGGTCACAGTCACTTCCCTTCTCTGCCTCACGTTCCTGAGAACCCACCCAGGGGAGGGTTGGTCCAAACCGTGCCCCTGGGCTCAGCAACGGGTGGGGGAACTTGCCCAGTGGTTCATGTTCAAGGTCACGCACAGAACCATCGCTAAGCATGTCATCATGTAGATAAACTAATGAGCCTGCACACTGATATCTCCAACAATGGCCAAATAGGGCCCCTCTGGTGGGGCACTTCCCCCCGCATTTACCTGGTCTGAGTGAGATGTACCAAGAGACCAAGTGTGAGTCTCTTCCTAGGAATGGTGCGCTGGGGACAGGTTGTTTTCTAGATAACGGACCCTCTCTTTTCCTTTAGGGACCCACCCCTCCCCCACTCTCAGCAGATGTGACTTAGAGCCACGGCCTTCATCCTCCCACCCACCTCTGTCCCCACCTCCTGGGCTCACAACCCTGGCCAGCCCTCCAAGTCCCAAAGGCGAGAGTGACAGGTGTGGAATCAAGTTCACTAGTCAACCTTGGACTGGAGACTTGGGAAGCTGGTAAAACGTGAGCACAAAGCCGCTGGAGGTCATTCTACTGCCACGTGGGACTGGACTGCCTGCAAATCCAACACTTCCGAGGAAAACAGCATGGAGGGCCCGGAAGACATGATTA